TTGCTCTGTATTGTGACAACAATGGAGCGATCGCACAAGCAAAAGAACCCAGATCCCATCAACGATCCAAACACATACTTAGACGGTTTCACCTTATCAGGGAGATCATAGACAGAGGAGACGTGCACATTTGCAGAGTGTCGACAGATGACAACATTGTCGATCCGTTGACGAAGCCTCTCCCTTCGTCGAAGCATGAGGGGAATGTTAAGGATATGGGCATTAGATGTTTAGCAGTCCATGATTAGACCAAGTAGGAGATTGTTGGTTCAGTGCTCTATGATGTACTGTTATGCGAGCTTTATTATGATACATATGATGTATTGACACGTTCTATGGTTTTATGGATGAGTGTTTGATTCATTACATATTATGCATACTTGAATATGTTATGAAATCCATGTATTGTTATGAACAATACTAAACTCCCTAGTCATGTATCATTGTGGGAATAATGATATACTAAGGTTAGTATGATGTGTGATTGATGATCATATAGATGATCATAGGTACTGGATACGATCACAATCATAGGTATTCGTTGGAGAACGGAATACTGGAATGACCCGCATGAGATTGTCACATGGACTAGCGTCATGACTTGAATCTCATTTGGCGGTTCCATGATTGGATCCTAAGACCTGAGATATCTACGGAATCCAACATGAGGAGTTGCGTGCTTTGAATATGTCAAACGTCCTGTGTAACAGGAGGACTATAAAGGCGTGTATCAGGTACGAAACGAATCATGTGCTGGATTGTAGATAGTCAAGATGGGATTTTGTACCTCTCGTAAAAGAGAGAGATATCGTTGGGCCCCTCGTGTGAGCGAGACTGTAGAAATGTGTGGCCGCACTATAGACGAACGTCGTCTATTTCAGACAGTCGAACTCAGTGAACGAGAAAGCAGTCAAATCAGATAAGGTGGCTTGTCCATGCCTTATGTTCGACATATGATATCGTGATACAAAAGGATCATCAACCGGAATCATCGCTGGCATTCATAAGATCACGAACAAACTCTATTCGAGATAGGTAGTCATAGTGTCTTACTAGAGACCGCCTATGACTTGTATATCCGGAATAGATATTTTGGGTATACTGCTGTATCGAATGAGCCTACAGGGTCACACACGCAGGGAATGACAAATGCACGAGAGAAAACGACGAAGAACCGAGTCGGAAGGGTCCAGACCGGACAGACCGGAACGTTCAGACCAGACGGTCCAGACCCGATCGTCCAGACGCGTGGTCCGTTCGTTCTGGAGACTGGAATGGACGGTCCACGTTAAGACGCAGACCGTCCATTCTACATGGTGGAACAGACGGTCCACATTAAGGCAGACCGTCCGTTCTACATGCTGGAACGGACGGTCCAAGTGCTTTTCTGGACCGTCCGTTCCGGGTTTCGGATTTTCAAAAATTAAACCGAATTAGGGTTAAATCGCCTTATAAGAAGGAGATTAAAACCCTAATTAACTAAGAGACTTTTTGAGCCGTCTTTGGCATAACTTGGAGAGCTTTTGGTGAGATCCAAAGAGTTATAAGAGTTCCAAGTCTCGTTTTCTCGAAGCGATATACCGAATAGCAGATTCGGGTCCTAGCGGACAAGTTCCAATCGTTGGAATCCATCCCGAGGTGTGGATACGTCTAGAGGGCGAGGTATTCTTCCTCCCTTTCGTGATCGAACGAGTTCTTCAATTGATACAGGTCCCGGATCGATTGAGGTAAGCGTTCTTACTTTTCTACGATTCATAAGAAGCATGATTCTAGGGTTTCATAAATTTTTGTTTTACATCCGTTGCGCAAACCCTAGAATCGATCTCTTAAGAATAAGATTCGCTCTAGAGATCCCAAGAAACCCAACAGTCTATTAGCATGATATCGTCCGCAAACATTATGCACCACGATACTCCCTTCTGTATATTTCTAGTCAGTTCATCCATGACTAGCGCGAAAAGGTACGGACTTAACGCGGACCATTGCACTACAAAAAAATCATTGAATTCCAACGGATTTGTTCATTGGAAAATTTTCAACGGATTTTCAACGGCGTTTCAACGACGATTTCCGTTAAAATTCCGTTGAAATTTCACTGCCCGTTGGAAATTTTTAACGGAATTTTCAACGTATTCAATTAAAAAATTGGGTTGAAAATTTCCAACGGTATTTCCAACGGATATCCGTTGGAAATTTTCAACGGATATCGGTTGAAAAAATCGGTTGGACATTTCCAACAGATGTTGGTTGGAAAAAAATTCCAACGGCATTCCAACGGATTTCGGTTGGAAATGTGAATTTTTTTTAAAAAAATTCCAACGGAATTCCAACGGATGTCGGTTGGAAATGATTTTGAAAATTTGGATTTTAATTGAAAAATCAATTGAAAAATATATATACTATTTATACGTATACATATATATGTATAAATACAGGTATATTTTGTGTATACATATCGATATGTATATATTAACTATATATATATACATAAAAAATATATATTATACATATATATATGAATTCGAATATGTATATGCGTAAATATATATACATATATACGTATAAATATTTATATATATATATATATGTATATATGTATGTGTGTATGTATATATAAATATTTATATGTATAAATATTTATATATGTATATATATTAATGTTATATGATATCAGAAGTTTAACTTGGAGCAGTTGGATGATTGCCAATTGGACCTCTAGAGTTAAGGAGGATTGAGCTGGAGCAGTGGAAAGATGGATTACCTACTGGAAAGTGAACTTCGGGATCAGGATCGAGGTCAGAATTGGGATCGTAGTCGGGGTCGGGATCGAGATTGTAGTCGGGATCGGCGTCGGGTCGGGGTTGAGATGGTCGGGGTTGAGAATATGTTTTGAATTTTTCGATTATATATATATATATATATATATATATTTAAATACATGTATTTTATATATTTATACGTATACATATATATGTATAAATACAGGTATATTTTGTGTATACATATCGATATGTATATATTAACTATATATATATACATAAAAAATATATATTATACATATATATATGAATTCGAATATGTATATGCGTAAATATATATACATATATACGTATAAATATTTATATATATATATATATGTATATATGTATGTGTGTATGTATATATAAATATTTATATGTATAAATATTTATATATGTATATATATTAATGTTATATGATATCAGAAGTTTAACTTGGAGCAGTTGGATGATTGCCAATTGGACCTCTAGAGTTAAGGAGGATTGAGCTGGAGCAGTGGAAAGATGGATTACCTACTGGAAAGTGAACTTCGGGATCAGGATCGAGGTCAGAATTGGGATCGTAGTCGGGGTCGGGATCGAGATTGTAGTCGGGATCGGCGTCGGGTCGGGGTTGAGATGGTCGGGGTTGAGAATATGTTTTGAATTTTTCGATGGAAAATTCCAACGGATTGCGATTGGAAATTCCGTTGAATGTTCCAACGGATTGCGGTTGAAAATTCTGTTAGAAAATTCCAACGGATATCGGTTGAAAATTCCGATGAAAAATTCCAACGGATTGCGGTTGGAAATCCGTTGGAAAATTGCAACGGAAAAATTCGTTGAAATTCCATTGAAAATTCTAACGGTTGTCCAATGGATACCGATTTCTAACGACGAAGTTCCAACGGATTTATCTGTTGGAAACGTTACTTTCCAACGAAAATTTGGTCATTTCCAACGGATTTGCCCATTGGAAATGACCATTTTTTTTGTAGTGTTGGTGCAACCCTATCGAGATAGAAAAATCTCGTGTGTCGTCCCCTATTGTTCGGACACTAGTAGTTGCACCGTCATACATATCTTTCAATACTTGTATGTATCTTACCGATACTCCCTACGCTCTAGCACTCACTATAAAACCTCTCTTTTTACTCGATCATAAGCTTTTTCGAGATCGATAAATACCATGTGCAAATCTTTCTTCATATTCGAAACTTCTCCATCAAGTTTCGAATGAGAAAGATTGTTTCTAATATAGACCTTTCGGGTATAAAACCAAATTGGTTTACGGAAATAGATGTGTCGCCATGCAAACGTCGCTCCACGATCCTTTTCCACAACTTCATCGTATGACTCATGAGTTTGAAGCCTCTATAATTTATGCAACTCTCGATATCTCTCTTATTTTTAAATCGAATTAAACCAAACTAAATTAAATCAATTTAAATTTAAAGTATTAGAATGGTTTATTTAATTTAGTTTGGTTTGTTTTGGTTTAGTTGGTTAGGGTTTGTGTAAAGGGTTTGGTGTTTCTCCTTTTGTATTTCAGGCACCATGTTTTCATTTTTGATAAAAAAAAAATACGACAGAGAATATATATACACACACATGTATGTAATTAAATGCTTGAATTATTTTAAAATAATTCGTAAAAAGTATCGTAGCATCCATACCAAAAGACACTAATATGTGGTCGACCACCAGTCTCATTGGATCGGATTCTCTTGCCACAATATATAAGTTTAAATGCCTTGTAAATTTCATCATCTCATTCGTTTCAAATACCACGTGTCACATGTTTATTGGTTATGTTCTATCCATATATACTTTGATTAAAAAAAGGTTATTTTCCATTCACGACAAAATGTTAAAGAATTGGCTGGGAATATTAAAAAAATGTTGTTCAGATGGTTGAGTTTAAATTTTATTTGATGTTGTTTAATTTTTATTTATTCATCTGTAGCCATGAAGATTACATAATTTCTTTTCAAATATAAAAAATATATAAATATAAAATCAATTAAAAAGTTGTATTTTTTTTGTAGAAATCAATTACTAAATTGTTTACGCCAAAAAAAAAATCATTCAATTTTTGGTTGGGCTTCTCTTTCTGGGCTTCTTATAGAGGATTTTGGAATACGGAAGAATTAACCAAAAATTAGAGAAAGGAGTATAAAAAAAAAGCAGACATATGACTTTCGTAGACATAAGTCGAATCTGCGAATCTTTCATGCACCTCAACCAATATATACATACACATATACTTACACATCTGCCTTCTATCTCGTCTTCTCCGAACAAGTTTCAGAAGCAAAGGTCAACGATGAATTCTCTCTCTGTCTGCTGATAACAGATTGCTTTCAATCTCTTATTTGGTGTCTTATGTGTTGTTTTCTCTCCGCACTGCCCTTAATGCAGCGCGATTCATGCTTTGGGGAAAATTAATTAGATTGCTTTAATGCTCTCTCTCTCGGTCAACGAGATTTGGCAATGTTTCAAAGACAGTGTTTCAAAGATGTTATGATGATGATGATCTTCTTATATTAGGAAACTGACAGACATGGAAGCTTCACCGACCATAGGCGTTTATCCACTTCATCGTTCCAAGATCATTCATCTGGTTCGTTCGTTTGTACCCTCGACATTGAATTTGATCAACCAGTATGAACCCATGATTAGTTAATGCTTAAGGTTTGCATTTTCAATCCAAAGTTGGAAACTTTTCCTCAATGTGTTTATTGGGTTCTTTGTACAATTTGATTGGTGGGTGATGAGTAGGTTCGACATGCTGAAGGGATTCATAACGCGGCGGGAGAGGAGGATTACAGTGCATATTCTTCAGAAGAATATGCAGATGCACATATCACCCCTCTTGGTTGGCAACAGGTATAGGCATATTCTGGATTGGGGACATGAACCTTAGAGCTCGTCCTCGGTTAGTTTCCCTTGTCGGGTTTTTGTCTTGAAAGGGCATGTTGCTTGGCGTGTCTCTTGCCTGGAACATTACCATTGGTGATGTTGTCTCTCTTGCAAGACTTTCTATAAATGAACGTGCATACCAGATTCTTTGAGATATCTATCATTTGGATGATCATGGAACAGTTGTTTCTGATTCTCGTTATCGGATTCCAGCCATGGTTTTTTTATCGAACACATCGACTCCTAATTTTCTTATACACCTGAATGTGATGAAATTGAGCAGTGATGATACATCTATGGCAGGTGGATGCTTTGCGGAAGCATGTCAAAGCAACTGGACTCTCGAAGCGGGTCGAACTGGTCGTTGTTTCCCCATTGCTAAGGTATTCTTGTTCTAACGCATGAATCGTTGTTAAAACGTTTTGTTAGTAACTAAATCTTCTATTGACATTTGATTTGTGCGATCATTTCAACAATAGAACCTTGCAAACAGCTGTTGGAGCTTTCGGGGGTGAAGAATATACAAATGGAGTCGATGTACCACCATTGATGGTGGCCAATGCAGGGAACAGTGGCCGTCCGGCAGTTTCAAGCTTAAATTGCCCTTCTTTCTTAGCTGTTGAGCTATGCCGAGAAATTATTGTACGAATCACTCATTTCGTAAGTCAGTCCACGATTATAGCAGAAGTGAAATATGTTCTTCATTTTGATTTTCTCTAAAGGTTGATCATCCTTGCGACCGGAGAAGAAGTGTCACAGAGTACCAGGCTTTGTTTCCCTCAATCGATTTCTCATTGGCAAGTCCCTCATGAACATTGTAATGCATCTCTGGTTAAGCTTCTTGGACCAACTAGTTTGGAAGGTTGTTTATGCATCCCGGTTTTTGTTGATATTAGATCGAAAGTGACCGGGATTTTCTATGGAAGCCTGGACAGAGAGAGAGCGTCCAAGAAGCTGCAGCAAGAGGAGTTAAGTTCATTAACTGGTGAGTGGTCTAGGAACTCTATAACACACCCAAAAGATGAGAACTTGTCACAATTAGTTCTTGGTTTAGGTCTATGAATATCGTTGCTCGGACAATTCAACATTTCGATGACAAGAATCGTCGTGTTTGCTTGGTTTTGAAGGTTATGGACAAGGAAAGAGACGGAAATCGTCGTTGTTTCTCACCGCGGATTCTTACGCGCCCTGTTGAGTTCTTTCGGGAACGATTGTCACACCGATACAAAGAAAGAGATGTCTACACGGTAAGTTTCCCCCTTGGCGTCTCCACCTAACCTTAAACCTCAAGCACTTCACACCTCTTTACTTGCGTGTAGAGGTAGATTACGGATATCCGTTAAAATTTTCGGGTAACTACGTAAATTCGAACCTGAAATTATTATAAAATAGATGTATACCAAAAAAAACACATAATGCTAGTTATACCCATCGTGTACCTGAAATTTTATGGTATTCGGATAATAGAAGGCAAAATGATAAATACTAAAAATTAATATAGATATATACATATATGTCCTTTACAAATGTATACCGATATCCATATATAATAAAAAATTCCATCTCGTATTTGTGAAAAATCGGATATCTAAAAATTGGATATCCGCGTGTCAGACACGTAGTACCCGATTTTGTGTATCCATGACACACTTAACATGAACGAAACCCGAAAATTTGTGCAGCTTCGTGAACTGCGAGCTACGTTCCATTGCTATCATCGATAGAGGGTAAGGATAAGCATAATCTTTATTCATGAACTGGTTTTGTTTTGTAAAGATTTCAAATCGATCTTTATTCGTTGTTTTTCTATTTAATTTTCTCGTTCGTTTTCGTTCCGATACGTAGAATGATAGGGACAGGTTCTTCGACGACGAACTATCCGGGGAAGACCCCTCAAGGACTTGGCCTTGCAAGCGACGACGTTGCAGAAGAAAAGATGGACAAAGAGAATGCATTAAACAACACATCATGAGTTTCCTAACTAACCAGTTTCCGACAAAAAGCCCATCAATGGATTCTAGCCTTTGTAATAAAAGTGTGGATTATATTTTCTTGGGATATAATGAAATTTGGGTGGATATTTTTGTTTTTTTTCCGATTCAATTTGATTATTTTCGGGTTAAATTTTTTTTTCTAGCTTAATTTTATAAAACTATAAACATTTTATTTTTTTATATTGTATTTGGTTCGATTTCATTTCTATCTAATTTGTTTTTATCTATAAAAATGTCTATTTTGTTAAAATATTTTCAATTTTTCGACTAGTTTTTATTCGGTTTGAAAGGTTTTTTCAATTTATGTTTAAATTAATTTCTATATTTGTTTTGATTCAAATATAATTATATATTATTTAATTTGTATTTGAAACCTCCGTTTGTAATTCCTATTGGTTGGTCGCAGTATTTTTTTTTTTCGACTTTTACTCTTTTCTTTTATCTTAGAAATTAAATGGAACAATCTTTTTATTCTACTTAGTATTTACACCAACCGTTATTACAAAGCTTCAATAGCGACAACAAGAACACTAAAAAGTGAACGGCGACAGTTATTGTTTCCCGGAAAATTACTTCAAAGAGGAATTTTATTTCTACAGAACTTTCCGAGAAAATAACAAAGTAGTGATTTCCCCGAAGACTACTTAAAAGAATAATATTATAAATACTATATGCTATATGTTTCGAAATTCCTTTTTTCTTTCATTTAAAAAACTATGTTGCGGAATTTACACTCTTCTTCTTAATTATATTTGACTAGGTGAAGATCCGCGCGTTGCGCGGATTGTTCCGTTTTTTATTATACTTTTTGTTAAAAAAATTGATATAAATATTATAAAAATAATATATATTATATGTTTGATATAGAAAAAATATATATGTAAAATTCTTTGTTTTACAAAAATGTTATATATTATTTGTTTGATAATTATTATAAAATTATCACTATTATTTATATAAGGAATTAAAATAGTGAAAGAATATAATAGTTATTCCACATACATTGCATATTAATAATTTATTTTGGTTGTACTTAATACCCGTTATTATCTTATTCAATCTTTGCTTAAAATTTAATTATAAAATAAAAAGATAAATGATATTTTTAAATATTTGGGGTTTTAAAAAATATCGGTTAAATAGTAATGTATATATAAAAAATTAAAACGTAATTGAAATATATTATCACCAAATGAATCTGTCTACCCTCTTAAATATTAAATAATACAGTTTCATTTTATTTTAAATTTATATACATGGCGTTTAACTTTTTAATAATATAAAATTGTACATCTTTATAAATCTTTGTAAATAATTTTGTATTGAACCACATAATTACTAACTCATGTTAATAAATATAATATAATAATGATATATTTTATATATTAATCTATTAAATAATCTAGAGATTCATATATAACTTAATAATTACTGTCGCTAAACTTTAGATTTACACACGCTTATAATAATTCTTCTGACATTCAATCTATCTATTTATGAACGAATTTTTTATGCAAGATCATTCCATACGGGAATATTTACGATATTGCTAGGTTTTTTTATATCAAAATTATGTGTTAGATTATCAGGAATAATTATTATTTTATTTTTAAAAATATATTAATTACCACTTAATTAAAATATTGGGAGCTTACTTTTGTAATAATAAAGAATATGTCTCAAATAAGGATAAAATCTTAACCAGTAATATATCACATTTTCAGGTCAATAACTCAATATAAAAAAACTGATTTGGATGGTATAGTCATTTTTTGAGTGTTTGTATAGTTTGTCCCATGGAAAAAAAATATTATTGTTGAAAAAGTTGATATCATAGTCATAGTATTACGAAAGAGAAATTTCAGATAAATTTATACCATAATTTGCTAGCTTTGGCAAACCAAAATTAAACATATATCAATCGCTCCACCAAACGTCCAATTTTTATTTTTAATTTCTTTTAATGAACGCTTTTATCGTAACTAGGTGAAGATCCGCGCGTTGCGCGGATTGTTCCGTTTTTTATTATACTTTTTGTTAAAAAAATTGATATAAATATTATAAAAATAATATATATTATATGTTTGATATAGAAAAAATATATATGTAAAATTCTTTGTTTTACAAAAATGTTATATATTATTTGTTTGATAATTATTATAAAATTATCACTATTATTTATATAAGGAATTAAAATAGTGAAAGAATATAATAGTTATTCCACATACATTGCATATTAATAATTTATTTTGGTTGTACTTAATACCCGTTATTATCTTATTCAATCTTTGCTTAAAATTTAATTATAAAATAAAAAGATAAATGATATTTTTAAATATTTGGGGTTTTAAAAAATATCGGTTAAATAGTAATGTATATATAAAAAATTAAAACGTAATTGAAATATATTATCACCAAATGAATCTGTCTACCCTCTTAAATATTAAATAATACAGTTTCATTTTATTTTAAATTTATATACATGGCGTTTAACTTTTTAATAATATAAAATTGTACATCTTTATAAATCTTTGTAAATAATTTTGTATTGAACCACATAATTACTAACTCATGTTAATAAATATAATATAATAATGATATATTTTATATATTAATCTATTAAATAATCTAGAGATTCATATATAACTTAATAATTACTGTCGCTAAACTTTAGATTTACACACGCTTATAATAATTCTTCTGACATTCAATCTATCTATTTATGAACGAATTTTTTATGCAAGATCATTCCATACGGGAATATTTACGATATTGCTAGGTTTTTTTATATCAAAATTATGTGTTAGATTATCAGGAATAAGTATTATTTTATTTTTAAAAATATATTAATTACCACTTAATTAAAATATTGGGAGCTTACTTTTGTAATAATAAAGGGAAAATAATTTTCAAAGTTGATGATACTATTCGTAAATTCGATCGTTCTACACGATCAAAACTACAATAATATATTTGCAATTTAAAAAATGTATTAGTTATAAAATCTTTGTTTATATTTTTTAATTTTTTCTTTTGTAATTTGGTAAGATTGATATATGTTTAATTTTGGTTTGCCAAAGCTAGCAAATTATGGTATAAATTTATGTGAAATTTCTCTTTCGTAATACTATGACTATGATATCAACTTTTTCAACAATAATATTTTTTTTCCATGGGACAAACTATACAAACACTCAAAAAATGACTATACCATCCAAATCAGTTTTTTTTATATTGAGTGATTGATATGAAAATTTGATATATTACTGGTTGAGATTTTATCTTTATTTGAGACATATTTGCAAAATTTCTTTTGTAAAATTTTTCTATTGGTTTTTCTATCCAATCAAACACAAAATTAAATAAAACAAACATAAATTAGTACTATGTGACATGATTTTTTCTCCATGTTACTGCAATATAAGATCAAATATAAATAAATAAAAATAAATCAATAAATTAATAAAAAAAATATTAAAATAAACAATAAACTAAGTAAACCAATGTACATATATACATATTTTGG